AGTCCATTCTCTCCCCACTATATTGCAGTGAGGCTCTTGTTACAGTCAAGTGACTGTTGACATATGAGACTATTTTTAGATTTTGCATTCTCTTCCATTGGTCTATTTATCTTACTCTGTTTTTGTATCCTCTACCTTTATAATATATCTTGACATCTTCTACTATAAATTTTCCAGCTTTATTCTTATTTTTCAAGATTGTGCTGGTTAGTCTTATTCCTTTGCATTTTCATATACATTTTGGAATCAGCTTGTCAAATTAAAAAAAAAAACACTGAGATTTTGATTGGAATTGCATTGAATCTATAGGTCAATTTGAAGAGACTGATGCCTTAACAATGTCATGGTCTTTTAATACATGAGCACGATCATGGTATTTTTGCCCCACTTTCCATTTATTTAGGTCTTTTTAATTTCTTTAAGCAATGTTTTATAGTTTTTATGTAGAGATCTTGCTCATATTTTGTTAAATCTATTCATAGGCATTTGATAGTTTTAATGCTATTATAAATGGCATTTTTTTTGAAATTTCATTTACTAATTTTGCTAGTATACAGAAACAAAATTGATGTTTTTTACTAATGTTATATCCAGAGATACTGTGAAAATCACTTATTGTTTCTAATAGTCTGAGGATTCCTATGGATCCTGTATGTACACAATCATAACATATATGACTAATAACAATTTTATTCTTGCTTTGTAATCATACATTTTTAAATTTCTTTTACCTGTCTCATTGCCCTGGCCAAGACCTCGAGTATAATGTTAAATAGAACTGGTGAGAGTGGACATAATGGGAATATTTTGAAAATCTAGGTACACAAGTCTCATCCTCTCAAATTCTGATTCAGTAGGTTCAAATTGGGGGCCTGGAAAAGCAACATTTTAACAGGTATTCCAAGTGATTCTTATGTAGGGGAGTCCTAGAAACACACTTTGATTAATACCTTTAAAGGACTAACTTTACTCACCAAAAAATTTTCCTAATGAGAATGGAATATTGCCTCCTTTCTTCCTCCCTTTCCTACCTCCATCCTCTTCCATGGCAGTGATGGAAGCATAAAGTGTTGATTTGAGCACCTTACTGGGCCACTTCTCTTTCTCTGGCTCTAGATCTAGATATAATATGCATAAAAGTGTCCACAGTGTTAAAATATTGACTGACTTTAGAAAAGAAAAAAAAAAATACCTTCTTCCCAAGCCAGCAGTCATATGCAGAAAAAAGCAACCGTGGAGGGGGGAAAAAACTATAATTGGAAGTTGCTGAGGTCACAATTGAATTCAATCCTTTCTTTACATGCATCCACATCCACACATGCACACATACAAACAATCATGTGGGTGTTACCACATGATGGAAACAGTATGAGGAGAACAAAATAGATTCTAAAAGATACAAAGTTATATAAAATAGACCGGAAAAATATGAAATCACCTGGTAGAAATGGATAGCCCATGTGGTTTCCCAATTATGATTAGGTACAAATCAAAGGAACAATATATTTTATCATAATAGATTAAGAGACAAAATATGCCATGGATATTTACAGAAAGGAGTAGAGATGTAAGAATAGATGCAAATAATTATAGAGTATTGGAACTACGCAGGGCCTTTAAGGTCATTTTATCTGACCTCTGCATTTTTATAGCTGAGGTGACTGAGACCCATACTGGTAGAGTGACTTGTCCAGTGTCACTTGGTGGGGTAGTGGGACTATTGGGAACAGCACCCACCAACCCTGATTCCCACCTTCAGGGCTCTTCCACTAATATCATTCAATCAATATCTATGATAAAAGGTCATGAACATGAAAGGAATTCCAGAGATTAAAGAATGTGGAAATATTGGGACAAACCTACAAAAATAAGTCCTTTCTATAGAATAAGAGGGAGATACATGAAAAAAGGATCTACTATGTAAGGATCTACAATGTAACTGTTAGAAAGAACTAAAGAAAGATGTGAGAAAAAAGAAGTAAAGTGAAAAGAGAATTGGAACAATTAGAAGAAAAGCAAAGAAGAAGAAAGTAAATTAGGGAAGCCAAGAAATGGAAGACAATAACCAGAAACGAAAATGTGATAAAAGAATTCAAGAACACGAAGATAGATGTAGTGTTTTTATGCCCATTTTTGTCAAAAGTGTATCTATCTAGAATTATTTTCATAATAAAGTAGTCTGTAATGAAATAATATGAAAAGGCATTTAAACTCCTTTGAAGAGGGATAAACCTTAAGTGGTAGCAACATGAAGTTCCTAATCCTCTAAAATGTTAAATGAATGAGAAACAAATCCAAAGAAGTACTGCTCTATATCAAGAACCATTATCATGTAAAATCAAAGACACACTGGGAAAGCCAAGGCTGTAAGTGTTCCTCCAAATGACTGTATCAGTTTTCTAGAGACATGGCTGATGAATGAAAATACAAGGTGTCAGGGAATTGCAAACATTACGAATAATCAAATAGGCTGTGTTAATTCAAAGGAGGTATAGTTTACATGCTATTTAGAACTGTGTATTTCCTTACTTTTTGCACTTCCTTAAGAATCTGAACCTAAACACTGTAATCATAATATTGAATGTAGCCTTAGTGATCTAAACCTGTTAACTTTCATAATTCACTTGATGAGCGAAAGGACCTCGTTGTGTCTCTTGGAACAGGAGGCATCCACCTGTAAACGACGTTTAACAGAGATAAATGGGACATAATTAGGCATATGTCATAGGAAAGAGAATTTTAAAGGTGACTAATCAACCAAATACATATACTTAGCAAATCAGTATACTAGCTAAGGGCACAGGATTTGAAATCAGGCAGACATGGATTTAGTCCCCAATTCAGCTACTCACGAGTTACGTAACCCTCGTTCACCTCTTTTCTCTATTCTCTTCTTCCTCCCTCTCTTCTTCTTCCCTTCCCTTTATTAAAAAATATCTCTTGAGCATTTACTATACACTGGATCTATGCCATGGGCTGGTGGACTAGTTACTTTACATTTCTGAGAGCAAACATGGAATGCTTACAGCAAAGAGACGTGTGCTGTGCCACATGAGCCAAGGTGTGGATGCGGAAATGGGCCAGACTCCTTGGCGTGATGGGAGGTAAATAGTGGGAGGTGAGGATGGAAAGACAGGACGAAGTCAGGTTGTGGAGGGCCCTGAATGCCAGGATAAGCATCTGAAATTAACACACCGAGAACTGGCTAGCAATTAGAAATCAAGCAATTAGGGAAATAGTCCAGCACAGGCAGGCCGAAGGATGGGATTATTTCAAGAAGGATAGATTACAAAGTATTTCAGAGAAGCCAGGAAAGAATTGGATTTGGCTGTTAGAAGGATGTTGTCTACCTTTACAATAACTTGGGTTGAGTGGTGAGGATAGACACCAGACTGGGATAAAAGAACAGGATGGGGAGTGAAAAATTGGAGCCTGAGGGGCCAAGAGTCCCACTGGCAGGTTAAACAGAATGGAAAGGAAATATTAATAGTATAGTAGAAATAAGAGGAAGCAGCAAGGCCAAGGGCAGATATATTTTTCCTAAAATGAATCGTTACTATGCATATGTGAAGGTAAGAGACCAACGTGGAGAGAAGATTCCAGGGTGAGAGAATACCAGCTGAGAGTGGACAGTTAGCACTGACAGCTGCAGGGCACAGGGAAGCCTGGCCCAGCCAGAGGCGCGCTTCCTCTGAGACTGAAGGGCCTGACTCCACACTGAGATTTCCTTTGTACCAGGGAGGGAAACAAGGTAAGATTTATCTGTGTACTCCAGGTGAGCACTGGAGAGTGGCTACATCAGGCCACAAAAAAGACTAAGTGACTACAGCTGCAGAAAGATAAACATAAAAGAGTTTAGCCCATCAATAGGTTCAGTAGGAGCATCAAACCATTCTGATTCATACCCTGGAAACCTTTCTATGTTCTTCTGCTATGGTACAGGGAGGGTTGCAGGTGGCTGCGCAGATGTTCAAAGACATGTGAAGTCCTCTCATCACCCTCCCTATGGAAACAATGGTGTGGGTTGTAGAGACACAGGTCAAATCCAAACACTATTCTTTGTGCTGTGAGTGACCAAATATAGAGGAAGTTGAAGGTTCGGATGAATGGGTATTTATGTAGAGATAAGCACATCCCACAAGTTAGTGCTTATAAAAGAGGGCCACTCAATTCTGTGTGAATATGCCTAGTCTCCATTCAAAATATCGACTCTAGAAACCTTACTGTCAAACTGCTCCCAAACTTGTAGACACTTTTCCTCCACCCCACCGCTGAGTCCTAAGGGGTTAGATAAGAGAGCTTCTGAGGATTGCAGATCTGATTCTACCTCTATTTGAGCTCCTGGTTGGGAGAAAGGGAGCAGAGGGCTACGCTGGGCTCAACGCCCTCATCCATGACCAGTGGGACCAGGGCTTGCACCCCGGGGGTGAAAACTCCAGGCAGGGATTGCCAGACCCGGGATGGCAGGCCCCGCGTGCTCGCACTAGAGAATCCTGCGGGCGAAAGAGACTGCTGTCGCGCGCACTTGGAAGAGCAGAGTAAGTGCGTTTGGCGGGAGAGGGCACAGTGCTGACTGGGCATCTTTGCTTGGGAGTCCTTCCTTTCGCATGAGCCTATCTGTGCCAAGGGCTGGAAACTGGGGCTGCAGGTGGGAGGCGGGTGTCGGTCAGGAGCACCGACCCGCCTGGCCCTGTGGTCGCAGAGGAGTTAGGGGGAGCCCCGGGCGCAAGCCAGGGATAGCCTGATCTCTGCTCCAGTCCACAAATCCTTAACGGATTTTCTTTCTCTCCCTTCACCCTTTTCTCTCCTTTGCTCTCTCTCTCTCTCTCTCTCTCCCTCTTTTTTTCCTTTTTCCCTCTCTTTTCCCCCTCCCTCCCCACCCCTTCCCCTTCCTCTCCCATCCCCCTCTCCCCTCCCCCTCTCCCTGTGTGGGAGCCTCTTCCTCTCCCTCCTCCCCTTTTCCGCCTCTCTCCCTCTCTCCCTCTCCTTCTCCCTCTCAGCTCGCCGGGCGACCCTGCTCCTGCCTCCCACATTAATGGCGGCATCTTCGGAGGACGATATAGACCGGCGGCCCATCAGAAGAGTCCGCTCCAAGAGCGACACGCCGTACCTCGCGGAGGCCAGGATCTCCTTCAACCTCGGGGCAGGTAAGGACGCCCGTCCGGCCGGCCTCGCTCCGCCGCCGCCCCCGCCCCTCGCGGCCCCTCCCGGCCCTGCCCTCCCCTCCCCGCCCCTGCCCGGCGCTCGCTCCTCTTTGTGTCGCCCGTGTGAGGACGGCGCGTGTGCGCGCGTGTGGGCGAGAGACGCGGAGGGGGAGGGCGGCGCGCGGGGCCCCGCATCCGCCCGGGTCACACGCGGGCTTCCCCCTCGGTGAGGACAAGAAAGTGCCGCCAGTGACAAGGATGCTGCCGGGAGCGCCCCGGAGCCGCGCGGCGTGCCGGTGCGCGGGCTGTGCGCGGGGGGCGGGGAGGCTCGTGGGTGAGGCTTGCGGCCAGGCTGCTACAGGGGGGAACTTGTTGGTGACAGCCAGACTCCGGGGACGTTGACGGGTGGACTCGGCCTCCGCCGCAGTGTCGGACCGGGGAGAGGGGGCGGGGCCGACGGCTGGAACGGAACCTCTTCCCTGCACCCAGCAGTTGGAAGGCGACCGTGGGAGCAGTCATCGCAGCGTGGGCTGCAGGGCGCGCGTTCGGGGATTTGATGCTGCCACTGGAACTGGTGCCCAAAGTGGCCCAGAGAGAACTGAGGGCAAAGGGTAACCGAGGTAGAGGAGGGAGGGAAAGAAGGAGGGACGGAGGAAGGAAGGAGCAAAAAGAGGACTGAGAGAATCAGTCAAAACTGCCTCAGTTGAATGCTCTCAGGGTTACCCAACCAAAAATAGCCCAGAGTCCACTGTTCCCTCTGCTGCTGCTGCTCCAAACTCAGCCCCCAGTGCCTTACTAGCGGTGCTCGCTATCGCTGGCAGGAAGTTGCTTGCCACTAACTTCATGGTGCTGCCCTTTCTGAATGACACCTAAGCCTCAGCCCTGGCTCCTGTCTCTTCTTCTGCAGGGTCTCTTACTATTGCGGCAACTCCAGTGCATAAAGAGCGAGGGCGTTTCCCTGAAGACTCTCTTTCAAAATAAGTTTAGAAAGCATACAATACGTTTTGCTGTAGGGACCTAGTCCCTTGAAAATGAGACCGAATCAAAGGAGGTGTGTGTGTGTGTGTGTGTGTGTGTGTGTGTGCATGTGTTGGAGCAAAGAGAATCTTCAAATGATGGCTATTTGACGGGTACTTTATGTCCTGTTGAAAAGTTTGAACAAGAGAGAAAACTCTGCATAGAGAAACAAGACACACTGGCTGAGCAACCATGTCTTTATGGCTGGAGGAATGATGACCGAATGTGCCAGAGTGGCCAAATGCCTTGGAGTGCAATTTTCCTGTCTTGGTGATTTGGGTTATTTTTTTTTTTAAAAAATATAACACGTATCCCATCATTTCTTAAATGTTTGCCTCTGGCTTGTGGGCTGAGGACAAAAGAGCTTTATCGAGGAAGTTTTGGCAGTTTTTGTGGCATGCTGGAGTAGTCCATGGTGCTCACTTTGGAACTGTTAATCCCTACCTGTATGTTCCAGATTCAGCATATATTTGTTAGGGGTTTTGCAAAGGACTGAGAAGAGTTTCTTTTAGGACCAAGATTGTTTTCCCACCTCAGTGATATTAGGAATTATTCTACTGACCCCTTTGCTAACAAACTTGACTGTGTATTCCCTTAGTGTCTGGCTTAGGATAGGAGGAAAAAGGTGAAAGAGCTGTTAGTAAAAGCTGTTTACTTTGTGCTAGTACTTTTATAACAAAACAGTAAAATAAAGTACCAAAAAGGAGTTTCAAGTTTCAGCTACTATTCAGTTACATTGAGCCACTTTGCCACTAGATTAGACCCAGTGACTTGCAATCTTTTATTCTAGTTAAATTGCTCTGGAGTCCAATTAAAAGATTGGCTCAGGCAGGACTTGTCTCCCTTTCATCTAGAAACAAGCAAGCCAGACAAGCAGCCAATATTTTCCATATGTCCCCTAAAGTACCCCTACATGCAAAGTGGCAAGAAAGACACCAGCAACAAAGAGAAATTCTGAGGAGAGGGTGTTGTTAAAGGAGGAAGGGCAGTCGTAGGGGGCTCTGCACTGCGGTCAGGGAGCTGTCCTTCCTCCGTGGTGCTGAAGCGAAGGACAGTGAGACAGAGACGTGACTGTAAGGTGGACAGCAGAGGGACTGGTGCTCATTCCCTCTCTGTGTTGGAACCCCCGGAAAAACGCAGAAGATGGGGCCACCAAAAACTTTTCTATTCCTGCGCACCTACATTCGCTGCCTATTTACTATGCCTCACACCTCTTGCTCCACTGCTCAAATCAGGCAGTTTTGCTCTAATTTTGCACCGACTGCTCACTCCCGGGGCTTTGTTTATTTTCCAGCTGGTTTCTGGTTGCTTTCCTAACAAAGTAAGACCTACTCACAGATGCGCCTTTCCCCCGCGTTTAAAAGTAATTGTAACCCCTGGTTTAAAAAGCAAACAGCCTTGTTTATCTCCTTGAGCAGCAAGTTGTAATTAAACTATTAGTGTCGTTATCAGTGTTGCTGAACAGAGAAGCACGCACACTCCCAATAAATTACATAATCTGAACACAGAGAGAATTCTGTGTATGTCTTAACAATTTATAAACAATTAAGCAAGAAAGCATTCCTCTGCCCTTTCTTCCCACTCCTCTCCCTCCCCAGTCACTTATTGCTTATTCTTTCCAGAGAAAGTTTTATTAGTTTAAACCATTTATGTTTAGTATTTGCTTTTCCACAACCACTTATTATATGGAAATCTATGTTTGATATTTTAGAGGTTTAGCAGAGCTTCAAGAAAATAAATATACATATATTCATTTTGCTTGGCTATCATAAAATCATTTTGGGTACCTACTCCCTTAAAATAATCTATCCAATTGTCAAGTAAAGTGGATTGGGCATTTTGAATACTAACTAAAGACTTAAACATTTCTTCAACTACACCCTATCTCTGACAGTAGACAGAACTTAATAGCATTTCAGAAATAACTCCACAGCTTGAGTGAAGGATATATTCCTTCACCTACAGTCCCAAGTCAGTCAAAGAATGGCACCAAAATGTGGATCTTTCGTCAATTTATGAAGATGCTAATTTCAAGGTTCAGCCTCCATAGAAAGAGTAGAGAACAGAAGTTTTCTGAACTCTGTCTTTTATGTTTCTGAAAGAGCCCCTTTTCTAGTTTTTAACTTCCTCTCAGCCTTTAATAGACACAGATATTGATAGATATTTGTTTGAAGATGGTAAAAATGCTAAAGAAAATTAAGTCAATGTATTTTCTGAAGGTTGTCCAGACACATCAAACATTTAAAGCATTTGAAGAGGTTTTCTCTTCCCTGAGAAATTCAAATATGCTAAAAGGACACGGTGTAACAGAAGAGTATGTTCACACTATCAGTAGCAAGTGTTTCTAATTGTATTCTCACTTAGTAATGAACATCACTGATATTTTGCTTGAAAAAACTTGCCTTGCCTCCTGAAGTCATTCATTCACTGCATTGAAGTCAGTGCAATGAAGAGTTGCAGCTCATCTGGCAGGTACTTTCTCATGGGCCAGTGTATTCTATGTACCTTTATATTGGCAATATGTAGAAGAGCATCTGATACATAGAAGATGCTGAAACTGAAAGGTTCTCCAAATTATAAACTAAAGTGAATGAAAGTGTTATAGTAAGTAGAATTAAGCACATCTAAAATTTCTTAAAGGGAGGTGAAAGAAAGGAGGTAAGTCATCTTGTTGGTTTAGGAGTGTTTATAATAAAACATAAATCCAATATTGGGCACTGTTGAGAATGAGTACTTTTCTAATCACAAGGGGGTTAACCTCTGTTGATATTTCAGAATTGCTTTGTATGGGAGAGATTTTAAATTAATGGCATGGTCAACCCCAGAATACTTAGCCTCTTTGGAAAGCTGAAATAGCTGTTTCTGGCTTCCACTGGTCTCTTCTACTTTTTCAGGCCTGGAGGATAAGGGCAATCGGAATTGGCTCTGATATCTACAAGGATGAACGAGTCTCAGGAGAATTCTTTTCTACCTTTCTTGAGAAGGAAGCTCTTTATCCTTCAGCTAAGTTAAGAAGGCCATGATATTGACAAATGGCAACTCAGATTGTGCTATTATCACTTAGTAAAGAGAACTGTCCCTGAGCAAATTGTGAATATTATTGTCATGCTAAACTGAGATAGTTTTCACCAGCTAAAGGTCTTAGTAAGCATCCTCCTTCATGCTTTCATTGAAGAATGCCAATATATCCCTCACAATATTTTTTGTTACTGATTTCAAATTGAAGGCAGACCATGTGGGTCTGACTTTTATTTGGTGGGCCCAAACTCTCCTTTTAAGTGTTGCTTCCCATACGTAGTAGCCAGAATTCAAATGTCTCACCTCATGGCTGATGGGGAGCCTCTAGTGTGGGGGTCTTCCCTCCTGTGTCATAGTTAAAGCTAGCTAACCTGATAATCTCATAATGCCATGCATTAAGGTGGTATTTATGAAGATCGACCCACATAATATAAAGTATATTAAAATGGTACAGGAAAGTAAGTTCAGTTGGCCTTCTGTATTCATGGGTTCTACATCTGTGGATTCAAAATATTCAAAGAAAAAAATTAATAGTTACATCTGTACTGAACATGTACACACTTTTTTTCATGCCATTATTCCCTAAACAATGCAGTATAACAACTATTGACACAGCGTTCACATTGTATTAGGTATTATAAGTACTCTAAAGATGATTTGAAATATACAGAAGGATGTGCATAGGTTATCTGCATTTTATGTAAAGGACTTAAGCATTCATGGACTTTGGTGTCTGCAGGGCATCTTGGAACCAGTCCCCCATGGATACCAAGGGACCACTGCAATTAACATTATGAGTAAATGGGAAGCCCTTTCACATAAATATTTAATTTGGCTGTTTACCATGTCATTGTCTCAACAACAATTCATACATTTATGAGACAACTGGAACACAAAATCTACGCTGGGTGATTAAATTTTCTTAGAATCTTTGGTCTAAGTATTATTAATTTTTTAAAACATGTAAG